AGCTCCGGTGGCTTCCTCAACACCCACCAATCACCCTTCTTCTCTTCGCTCTGCGACATGGCAGGGATGCAAACACGCTCTACATGACGTGCAGAGAAAGGGGAAAGTGCATGGTGGATTGCAGAGATCACTAAATGTACTCAGGGGTACATATTGGTCGCCCTCTACATGACCCTCTGCGATCTCTGCGTTCTCCACGCACTTTCCCCTTTCTCTGCCCAGGTTCGCCGCTAGGCTAGGTGCCACCTAATACATTGGCCACTTAAGATGTGGCCCAGACCTCGCCCACTGCGGCAGGTCAGCGCGAGTTTCCGCCTTTCCCCATGCTTTTTGGGTGCGGACGAAGGCGAGCACAACGTGACCTATTGGCCAACTATAGACTGGCCATTTAGGACACTTTACTACCGTCCCTGGAATTTCTCTGGGATAGAGACTTTCTTCTATCAGCATTTTCTATTAGGGCTCAATAAATCAATTCGCCAAATCCGTAGCACTTTATTCCATATGCGATCCCTTCGTTGATCGAGCGGGCGGTTGACCATGCCAGTAATTACTAACAAGTACTCTCTTTATCCAGTGACCGCAGGAAGTACTGTAATTGCACACTTAGTAAAATATTTGGCTGCAGGTAACCCAAGGGTATTAAAAAGCAGCGCAAGTATGAAGTGCCCAGTTTTCAAAGTTTTACAAAAGCAAGCTAAGTTTACAGTTAGGGCAGGTTACCAGGTTGACGACATAGCACGTTTTGGGTGCACTTTTGCGAGCGCGGCCGTTACACTTCACACCCGTAAATTTCGAGCGATAACCTTGGGAAGCTTCAAATGTACGAAACCATTTCAGCAATATTCAATGCGTAGAAAGTAATCGAAGATATAGTAGCGAAATTCCGATCAAAAAACGTGAAATGGTAAAGAAAATTGGAATTCAAGTCCTTTTCTCTGTAGTGGATGCCAAAACTATTTTCGATGTGGATGTGTCAAGTGAAACATATATCTTTCTATCCCTTTAAGTTTGTATTTACTTTCACTACCCTTTCTCACTGACATGTTCATGAGAATAGGAAGAAAACGAGGAATGAACCGAGCTGCCAATTCCGCTGTGCTTAAAAAACTTCTGCTAAACTGGAGCATATTTGATCATACCGTGACCCATGTCGTTTACAGTTATGTTATGTTGTAATCCATAGAATAGAGGCAAGCAAATTGGGAAGAATCCCCGCATACGCTAGAAAAAGGGATGACAAGGGTGAGACGCGGTAACGCGTCTCAATGTCCAACGAGGTGCGCAAAGTGAGACGCGTTACCGCGTCTCAATGTCGTCAATGTGTTAACCCAAGCGTAATAGCAAGTTTACATTCACCTCAGCTCACAACAAAGCTTCACCGCCATTTCGCGCACGTCCTTTTCCCTGATAGGAAGATCTTTTTTTATTCAGCTAACTATGAATTAATGTAGGGTGACACTACCATCAACGTCTGCTTCACCTTCAATCGCTTGATTCACCGGCTCCCTTGTACCAGCGGTTCTTTTCCCATAACCGCTTCCAACTGCTCGATTTGACACTGAAGGATAAATTTTGGGAGCTTCAGCAATTCTGCTACTTCA